ATATCAACAACAACAAAAAAAAAACCCAACGGTGTTGCAATCTGCCCCCTGCATCTTGGCATGACTGTAAGACCACTGTCAGGGAGGCTAAAGCTCCAGATGAGTTGGAAATGGTGAAAAACCAAACCAAACCAAACAAAACAAAAACTTAGGCTACTATGAAGCACTTTAAAAAGCTATGTTTATATGCCCAAAGGGCTACAAAAATGTGCATACTCTTTGATCCAGCAATAGCACTTCTAGGGCTATATCCCAAAGAGATCATACAAGTGGGAAAAGAACCCACATGTACAAAAATATTCATAGCAGCTCTTTTTGTGGTGGCAAAGAATTTGAAATTGAGAGGATGCCCATCAATTGGGGAATGGCTGAGAAAGTTGTGGTATATGAATGTAATGGAATACTATTGTGCTTAAGAAGTGATGAACAGACTGACTTCAGAAAAACCTGGAAAGACTTATATGGTCTGATGCTGAGTGAAGTGAGCAGAACCAAGAGGACTTTGTACACAATAACAGCCACGTTATGCAATGACTAAGATTGTTAAACTGAACCTTTCTCAGCATTACGAGGATCTAAGACATCTCCAGAGGCCGCGGGATGGAAAATGCTATCCACATCCAAAGAAAGAACTATGGAAGTTGAATCGCTATCACTTATTTTTACCTTCTGTTGAGTTTTGTTTCATCTTTCTGATGGTTCCTCCTATTGGTTTTAATTTTTACTTACAACTTCACTAATGTGAAAATATATTTAATGGGTATGTAAATGTAAAGCCTATGTCAGACTGTGCGCCGTCTTGGGAGGGTGGGGGGAGGAAAAGGGAGAAAAATTTTCAACTCAAAAGCATATGGAAAAAAAAATTTAAAAATAAAAATTAAAAAAAAAAGCTATGTTTAGAACAAGAACAAAAAGGAAGAAATAGAGCCTCTGCTTTGGGCCAATAGTGCAGGGAGATGACAGGGCTACTTCATTTCTGCTTTGTCTTCATCTTCTCCAGCAAGGGGAATGGGTTTTTAACTAGAAAAAAGGAGTACAAGCAGGTTAAGAAGGTGATGGGACCCAAATTCAGTAAAGAAAATGTTAGTTTTGGGGCAACTAGATGGTGCAGTGGATAGAGCACCAGCCCTGAAGTCAGGAGGACCTGAGTTCAAATGCAGCCTCAGACCAAACACTTGCCACTTACTAGCTGTGTGACCCTGGGCAAGTCACTTAACCCCAATTGCCTAAAAATTAAAAAAAATTTTTTACTAAGTGTCTGACACATACCAAGTACTGTGGGAGGTGGTAGGAATTCAAAGACAAAAAAAAAAAAAGAAGAAGCCATCTTGATCCTCCCAGAGCATCCGTTTTGTTGCGGGAGACAATGGATGAAATTTGACAGGGATAAGTGAAAGTCTCATATAAATCAGCTATGAAGACAGTGCAGAGGGCATCTGACTTGGGAGAAGTGTCTGTGAAAACGATCTGGACGTGTTTGAGCACAAACAAGATAAGTCAACAGTACGATGTGGCTGCTAAAAAGAGATTCTGGGAAGTCACAGCCTGACTGTGTTGGCCTATCAGTAGCCCTGGGCTCAGGATTTGAGGTGGGGGGTAGGGGGAGGTATCCCTTCCTCTCTCTAGAGAGGTCAACTATTGCAGCAAAGAATAAAAAAGGAAATAAGAAAAAAAAAGCCATTTGGCAAAAGTAACAAACACGGCAGCGGAGCCTGACCATACATGCTATGCATTCCATTCACATTGTCTGGGGCTACACTTTAACAGGCAGATTGGCAAACTATGGAGTGAGCACAGAAGATGGGCACAGAATCATGGGAGGACAATCAAAACATAAGTCCAAATACAAACAAGAACAGAAAGAATCGGGATGTTTAACCCAGAGAAGAGACATGGTGACTCTCTTCACGTATTGGAGTCTGACTGGGGGAGGAGTAAGCAGATTCTTAAACCTCCAGATGGCAGAACTGGGACCAGAGAGTGGGACTTTACGGGGAGGCTAATTTGGGCTCAATATGAAAAACAATGTTCTGACAGCTGGAGCTGTCCAGCGACAGAATGGTCTGAGTCGGGTGGTCGTGAGATCCCAGTTACAGGAGGCACTGGATAAGAGGCAAGATGACCATCCCCTGAGCAGAGGGTGGAGGAATACCCTTTAACCCAGTGACGCCACTATTAAGCATCTCTCCCAAGAGGGGAATATGCAACAGACCAAGAGGGATATGCAATGATATTTACAGCAGCCCTTTTTGTGGTAGTAAAGAATCAGAAGGAAGGCAGGTGCTCATCGACTGGGGAATGGCTAAATAAATCGTGGCACAAGAATGTAATGGAATAGTGTTATGTGGCAAGAAATGACGACTCTGAAGAATATGGATTCTGCAGAGGGGTAAAGGAGATGGCAGGGAAGAGAGGACTTCCAAGGTCTCTTCTGTCTCTTAAGATTCTTGTGTCCTGGGGCAGCTAAGTGGCGCAGTGGATAGAGCACCAGTTCTGAAGTCAGGAGGACCTGAGTTCAAATCCGGCCTCAGACCAAACACTTGACACTTTCTAGCTGTGTGACCCTGGGTAAGTCACTTAACCCCAATTGCCTAAAAAAAAAAAGATTCTTGTGTCCTGGACTCACACGGGATTGTTTGTCACAGTAAGAGGGAGCATGTGTGAGTGTCTACAGGTTCGTGGCTCCCTGGGGCCATGAGATTTTCTGAGTTATCATCCAGGTAGATACTTTCTTTTTTAGTGAGGCAATTGGGGTTAAGTGACTTGCCCAGGGTCATACAGCCACATTTGAACTCAGATCCTCCTGACTCTAGGGCCCCAGTAGATACCTTGTGGCACTTAAACAAATGCCATGTCTTTGTACTGACCATTCTTCTCTCCCTCCATCGCATGCCTATAATGCCTATATAATACCCTCCTCACTTCCACTTCCTAGCTTTCCTGAAGACTTAGCTCAAATCCTGCCACTGGCAAAAGTCCTTTTCTGGTCCTGTCCCATCTCCTCCCATTGCTCGTGCAATGAGATCACCTTCCATCTACTCTGTATAAATCTGGTAGTTAGTTGCTTGCGTGTCTCCAGAGTTAGAGGAGTGGGGAATGCTTTTGCCTTTCTTCCCATTCCCAGAACTTAGCACAGTGACTGGCACACACTAAGTGCTTAATTGGATAGGGGAGAGGAGGCACGTCATCAGACCCTGCATTAGGAAGCTCACTCTGGCAGCTGACTAAGGATTGACTGGAGTGGGGAGAGGCCTGAGGTGGCCCACCGGCAGCTCATGGCAGTAACCCAGGTGTGAGAAGATGAGGCCAAAAAGATGGTCATTTTCTTTCTGAAATCTCACCCACATCATTCTTGAACAGGTGCATAGCAGGATTTTGTAAGTTGAATTTGAAGGTGGGTTTTTTTTTTACCCCCTGCCCAGGTAATTTTTGAAAATGATGAAATAGTGACTATGCATATTTTTCTAACAAGGGCTCAGTTTTTCTTTTCTTTTTTCCAATGTGTAGGGAAGGTAGGGTTAGGATACGGGAAAAAGGGTGATTTAGGCATCTTTATAAAAATGCAGAGAACAGAAGTCCAGAAAGAGCCACAGACAAGCAGGATGACTTTGAAACTGATTATATACTTAAAAAGAAAAGCAAGGTATATATAATAGAAATCTGCAGTTTCGTATGCAATCCCCTTTCTTTTCTGCTGTGTATATGGAAATACCCGTTTTATTTGATGTTACATTCAGAATAAAATTTTTAAACAAGGGATGAAGAAAGAAACAGGGAACAGGACATCGCTAGCATCTTTGAAGGGGGAGCACAGGTTTCTAGGAACTCTTTTGGCTTCTTCTGAGTTTTTGAAATAGGCCCCCAGCTTCCTTATTTTTTTCCTACTGGACAATTCAAACAAATTGCCCTTGCCACGTTTCCTAATTCTCCCATATTCCTGTGGTAGAGAATTGGAGCTGGGAGGTGGAAGGGCAGGGAAAGTTTACCAAGATAATCAGCAGATCCACCCTTTCTCCTTTCCCCACCAAACAATAAAATATTGAACAAAAAAGTTTGCTGGTAAGAAATTCAAAACAGGAATGTGTGTGTGTGTGTGTGTGTGTGTGTGTGTGTGTGTGTGTGTACACGTGCGCGCCTGTGCACATGTGTGTGTTCCCACATACTGGGAGCAGGCAGCTTGACGCCTGCCCAAGTGCAGAGAGGGTAGAACCTCTAAATCCACTTCACATCTAGGGGCTGACCTCATGTCTGGTCACATGCACATCTGAAGGGCTGCCCTCTCCCAGGCAGGGCCAGGGATATCACCATCTCGTTTCTCCAGCCTTTTCTAGATGTTAAGGATATCCTCAGATCCTTCTGGGAGGGCACAGGGGGCCTCTCTCATCCCCAAGCACAGGTGGAGGCCAGCAGCTGAGGGGACAGTGCCTGGTTTAGCTTTGGCTTGTCACCCTTAGGGAGTACAGTGGCCAGAAATGGGTGCTTCTTGTTTTTCACCAAAACCTTCTTTTTTTCAAACGGATCTTTTATTTTTTGTATCACTTCCCTCCCCACAGACATCCCCTTATGAATGCAACACTGTGCTTCTGCTGGTTGGAACAGAAACTCCCTAGTGCCCTCCTCAATTCCCCCCCTTCCCAACCTGCCCTCACCTCAGGACTTTTGCCCTGACCTTGACTCACAAATACACTATTTCCACATCTGAACTTGTGAGAAGAGAAGCTGTGAAAGTTGGGGAGATGGAATTGGTCCCCTAAGGGACCCAAGAATTCTGGAGCCAAGACAATGCAGACACTTCATACAGAAAGCATGTTGGGGCACGGTCTGTGCTACAGAAATCTGTTGGGATTGGAGACCAAGGCCAGTGACCATCAGCCCCACCTCCCCCTCTGCGGAGAAGAGGGAGAGTGCTGGGGTCACCTCACCACCTGTCTGCCTCAGTTTCCTCATCTGTAAAATGGGCACCTATCTCCCAGGTTTTGTTATGAAGATCAGATAATTGTAAAGCACTTAGCAGAGTGCCTGCCACATGGTAAGTGCTATATAATTGTTGTTTGTCATTATTATTAACCTGATGTTTCCTTGTGGGAACTATTACCCCTGTTTCTTTGAAAGTTTGTTTAGCCTCTTGTGTTTAAAATTTTCCTTTTTTTTTTTTGTAAGGCTGGAAAACATGATTAAGCAGTTGATCCACAAATTAGTAAATGGTGTGTGCTATTGCTATTCAAACAAATGCTGTTGAGGATGAGGATGGGGATGGGGGAAGGGCAGCATAACTGGGAACGACTGGGGAGAGATATATTTAAAGCTGTGACATTTCCTGGAGTGCAGACTTCTGGCTAGAAGCTTGAAGTCAAGAGGAATGGAGTTATTGATTTATTTCCCCAACTTCCCAGGGCAAAGAGAATATGTTAACTAGAGTTTACCTGGGCAAACCAGTCAGCAGCTGTGGCTGAGCAGCTAAGCGACCCGCTGGACACTGAAGCAGGCATCTCCTGCACTTGCAGGCTGGTTTCCCCAGGGGAAGGAGCTGAAGGAGTAAAGAAAGAAAGTCAAATTCCAAAAGAGGAATAGCCTAGCCTAGGAAAGTGTGAGGGGAAGTAAGAGTGACAGCTCCGCTATAGGGAACCCTCTACTGTCCCTTAAGAAAGAACAAAAAGGAGAAAGGGGGAGGGAGGAGGGAAGAGAGTTTCCACACAACCAGCAAATCAACCTGGTATATGCAATATTCCACACCTAGAATCCTCCACCTCTGGGAAGAAAGAAAGAAGGTGGATTATTTCTTCTTTGCAGTCATTAGGAAAAGGGTATTTCTGAAAGAGAAATCCTGATTGAAGAGGAAAGAGGGCTTCAGGCTGGCCTACTTCCTGCCCTGAGGCCATGGAGGGGATGAAGCATCAGGTAGTTTGAGATGGGAGGTGGGTGAGTACTGTTCCAGAAGCCCAGGTCAAGCATCTACCACTTTCTGGCCCCAGGTCCTTTCTGATTCTGGATGTCAGATGCCCTCTTAGGGTTCCTGGCCACTGGAATTCTGGAAGGGAAGTTCCTTCTGAATGCTCTGCTCTCTTGAATCACCTCAGTGGTGGCAAGGTGAGCAGGCACTTGAGTGGGACCCTCTTGGGGTCCCTTGTTTTTTCCCCTCCAGAAGGGCCCTACATTGTCCTACAGGTTTAAGGGACTGCCACTTTTAAAAATCTGGATATTTTATTTACTGAAAGGGGCAGGAAAAGGACATTTATCTGAGAAATACAGAGAAAAGGACCTGAAGAGAAAGAAGGCAGTTCCAAAAGGCCCTGGGCCCTCGTGGGCAAAAAGGAAGACTTTTCCTTCTCCTGCAGGTAATGACAGGTGGTAGTACCTTGGTTGCTTAGCAACTAATTTACATATGTCTGGTTTTTAGGACTTTTTGAATTTGAAGTTGGGAATTTATGTTTGGAGGTTATGGGACAACTCTAAATTGACTTCGTGTCATCTGAACTGACATGTTCCGCAAGCCCGAACACTGGGAAGTTGAGGACCTGGCACCAGCCAGGCCCCAAGTGACCTAGTAAAGGTCATGCTGACTCGGGGTAGGTCCTAAAAGTTTAGAAAGGTTCCCTATGGGGGCTCTGGCTGGTCCCAGGGCCAGGATAATAGGCATCAAAAGGAAAGGGAGAAGATTTAGGTGACACGGCAGAGGACAGGATCTGGGAGGTGCTGGAATATCCAACCACCCGAAGATCCGTGGAAGTCTCAAGTCTGTGGGACTATTGGGGCAAACACGATCCACCTCCCATGCTAGGATTGTCTAAGGAATGTGATTTTTGATAGAACAGCCCTCCCCATCTTGCCAAAAAATGAGCAAAGCAGCTCCAAATCCATTAAGTATGCAACTGAGGGTTAGGTCACAAGAACAGAGAAACCCAACTAGAAGGCAGGGCTGGTATCCACAGGTCAGGAGAGGTAGACAGGCTGGACTGTGCTGAGGACAGTAATGTCCTCCAAGCCTCATGGTGATCTTCTTTGATGTCACTGAATGTGAGATGGGCCTTAGTAATCGAAAGCACTCATTTCACAGATGAAGAAACTAAGGCCTAGAGCAGCTGAGGGACTTACCAAAGGTTTCAGAGCTAGTCAAAGGGAAGAGCTGGGATCCTAAGCCAGGTCTATACTCTAGCAGAGTGCCTGGCATGTACACGTGTTGCTTGCCAGCCTCTTTCCACTGTGTGATACTGTTTCTCTGAAGTTCACTGTGGACAGAGTAAGCCATTAGAGACCTGCTCCAGTGGAACTGTGCTTGGAGAGGGCCATGCTTGGCTGCCCCAAAGGTCCAGCACCTGTAAACTTCAGGTCTCTGCCCATGCAGGTCCTTCTCAATACAGGGACCAGGTTTGACTGTGCCTTCTGATGGCACCAACCTGCCAGGCCAGGCCTTCCTAAGAGACAAGCCCAGTTGCATTTGTGCTGGATTCTTTCCTTTCTCAGAGGTAAGGGGTTGAACAGGACAATCTCTCAAGGTAAACAATGCTGCATTCAAAGACTCAGAAGACCTGGGCTTGAGTCTTCATTTTGTTTTTTGTTACCTGTGTGACTTAGGAGAATTGCTGTCAGTCTCTAGGCCTGTTTCCTTCTCTGTAAAATCAGGGCCTGGACAGACCATCTCTGGCTTAAGATGCCTGCAGAGTGCTTTGAGGCCAGCTGGGTGGCCCAGTGTGGAGGCCTGGGCCAGAAGACCCAAGCACAAATCCAGCTTCAGACACCAGCTGTGTGACCCTGGCTGAGTCTCCATTTGCTTCACTTTCCTCAACATGAAATACCTTCCTCGCAGAGCTTTTGTGATTATCAAATACGATAATATTTGTGGGGAGGGAAAAGTGCTTAGCACAATGCCTGGCACAGAGAAGGCACTGTATAGACGCTTATTCCTTTGTAGCGATGACATTTTATGGTTCTCATTATGTCCACTTCTCTTCCTCAAAGCTCTAGGCTGGAACCCTGCCCCCGGTCTCTGGGTGTTTATGAGTGGATTTCAAAGGCGGCATCCCTCAACTGTCAGAGGCCTCGGGGACAACCAAGGAAGAGCTTAGGCTGCTTCTGATGAGGAGGAGGAAACAAAGGCCCTAACAGGTGCGAAGCTTCCCTGGCTGCCCCCTCCCTTTCCTCTTCTCTCCTCCCTCCCCTTCACTATAAATACCCACTGATGCAAATGATGACTGCTACAAGATACTTATCATAAATTACAGGTGGGTGATTGTGAGTCTAGGCCATGGTCCCTCTGGGGAGATGTTTCAGTTTAAAAAAAACAACAACTGTGATTGGAAGAAGAGGAAGAGGCCTTTTCTGAACTGCAGATGGCAGTTGTGCTCTGGCTAGGGCACCCTAGGGCCCAAAAAAGGAAGAGGGTGGACACTGGGAAGAGGGGAGGTGGAAGGGGACAAGACCCAGGTTTGGAAGGGAGCAGGGAGCAGGGAGCAGGCACTATGTGGAGTAGCCTTGTTAGTAACAAATAAGAAGTGTTACAGGGGTGTTTGTGTGCCTGGGATGGGCCTGCCCCCACAATGATGAGCCATGAAAAATTTGCTGAATTATGCAAAGTCCCACTAAAGGTGTTTTCTAAAAGAATATCCATTAGGATCTGCTTACCTCTGAACCTTTCAGAGGTACTGTTTGGTTTTTAAGAGAGCAAGAAGTCCCAGATTGGGGCAAATGACTTGCCCAAGGCCCCACAGTTCAGCAAAGGGTAAGCTGAACAGGTTTGTGAGTTTGTTAAAATCTGAGGACACCCTAATAGGAGGATATAAAGCTTTTGGCCCCTGTATTCTAAGACCACTCCCTCAGTCACAGGGATGAAGGAGGAGGTGGCCTGAAGCGACCCTGCAAGCCAACAGCATTGTACAGTGGGAAGTCTGCAGGCTCCAGGGTCAGAGAACGAAAGTTCACAACCCTGCCAGGTACTGGGTTTCTCCCTTTGCCTGGGCCTCAGTTTCTGTAAAATGAAGGGGGTGGCTTAGGTCAGATGACCTCTCAGGTTCCCTCCACTTCTAGCTCTAGGATTCTGTTCTCCAAATACAGCTTTCCCAGGTCCTTAGCTGCTGACTTGATCCACATCTGGGTGAAAAGCTAGTTTTGAATTTTTCCCTGAATGATTGCCATCACCTTCTCTTCGTTGCCCCATCAGAAGAGTCCCATCTGCAGGCACCCAGGCCGACTCTGTTCAGCAGGACAGTTTCTCACAGTATTAGCATGATAAATACCAGTGGGGGGAGGGTGGTGAAGATCGGTCTAGGAACTCCATTTTAAATCCCACTAATGAGCGCTGACCTCCTGCTGAAGCTGTTGTCAGGATAAGCACTCAGAATCGACTGCGGCTTGGAAGGCAACACGTCACACAGCAGGCCCTCCCCTCCCTGCTCCAACTCATCCCACCATCCTAGCCTCTTACCATTCAGGTGGAACACACTATTTCAGAGGGAGGGAAGACTGAACTGTTTTTTTAAAGGAGAGAAAAAGAAGTCACTACAGAACAGGAACTCCTGGAAGGTGATGCATTTAATTTCATTTCCTCTTTTGACCCCTTTCTTCCCCTAAGAAGAGAACTTCTTAATTGAAGTCTACACTGGAGAATACTTTCTCTATGTCAGCAAATGTCCTTCTGCAGAAAAAAAAAAAGTACTTGGTTACTGTAGATTGTGCCATACTCTTTTTCGCTTTTGCTTTAGGAAGGATGAGTGATTATGGTTTTGTGATTTTTCCCAAAAATGAAAATGAAAAAGAGGCAGAGTTCACCTGGCTGCAGCTCGCTTGAGTGGCAGCAGCTTGCCAAGTGAATGACAACAGTGAGCAATCTTCTCTCTCATCAAAAAACTAATCTTTGTTAATGTTGGAGGGGCTGTGGTAAGACAGGTGCACCAGTGAGCCATTGGTGGAGCCTGGAAGTGATTCAACTCTTCTGGATTTTAAATTGGAATAATGCAAGAAAAGTGAAGTGATCTAGCAATCCCTCTTTTGGGCATGGACCCTTCTTCCCTCCTGAGAAGTCAAAGAGAGGAACAAAGGTAGGCTATATACCAAAATATCCATATTTTGTTGTAGCAAAGTAATGCGGGGAAAATGAGTACCTGACTGGAGAAGGGCTAGAAAAACTAATGGATTAACATTCTGCAGCAAGATATATGAGGAATTCAGAGAAACATGGTAATATTCATAGAAATTTATAAAGAACTCGGAGAACTATAGTAATATATTTTATATATATGTATATCTATGTACACACATATGTATAATGACTAAAATAATGTAAATGAAAACCAATCACTAAAAGGAAGCTCACCTCTGAGTTCCCTGAGAAGAGACACTAAAATCTCCCTCTTTTCTCACAGCAGAGAGAGGTGACGGACTACTAGGGCAGAGCATGACGTGCAGTGTCAGTTGCATCTTTGTATTGGATATTTTTGTTTGTTTTTGTCACAAGGGAAGACAATCTGTGAAGTGTGTGGGAAATGACTGTGAAGACAACACGATGTATAAAATCCTAATTTTTGCAGTAGAATCATTCATTGAAAATAGTTCAACCTTCCCCAAATTTTCAAGGAATAAGACACAATATATGTGTTAGGGATCAACAGTTCATTTAATGGGGGAGCTGGGGAGAGCCAGGAGTGACACTTTTAAGAGAAATAGATGAATTTCACATACCAACTAATAATGTTTTGAGCAAAAATTTAGATGAAGGAAATGAGTATTGAAGCATAAGATGTGGAGAAAAGGGGGGAAGGGGCTGACAGAAAGGAAAGATCAAAGATTAGATTATTATTGCTATTTTAAGTTTGAAGTGCTAGGCGACAAACCTCCTTCCACTTAAGTGTAAATCAATGTCCCTAAAATACAACTGTTCCCAGCCCTGAGACCTGGAAAGGGCCCAGGACCTCTGGTCTCTGGACCCAGCCACAGATGGCCTGGGCTAAGCCAAGGCCCCATTTGTACTCTCAGAGGCATCTACAGATGTCCCTTCTCCCAGGGCCTGGCCTGTTTTCAGTTGCCCTTAGACATGTGAATTCTGGTACTATAACTTCAAAGCCCTGCAGTATTCTCCCCCCCTGCCTTCAGTAAAATAAGAAGCCAAAATGAAGGACAAGAGAGTGGGAAAGGAAGACAAAACCACCCACACCTGCTCAGACTTCTGCAGTTTCTCCAGGAAGATCGGCCTGTGTCAACAAGCAACGTCATCATGACAAATGAGAAACATTTACCCCAAACAAAAACCCTGTAAATAACCACTGGTGACACAGCCCTGTTGCCTCCTTGCTGGTAACAGCTGGCTGTGAGCCAGGCGTGCTGGATGGGACTCTCAGAAGGGGCAAGGCCAGGCACAGGCCCAGCCCACCTTTTCCTCATCCAGGCCAAACTGCTCTTCTCACCTCTGTACAGCTGGGTCATTCCTCCTTGAGAATTAGCATCAGTACTGATCCCATCTCATGACCCTTCCACCCTTCTCCTCACCTCCTCCCTCCTGAGTCTTTCTCTTGGCCCCCACTTCAGGCATTGCTCATGTTTTCCACGCTTCACAGCATCCCCTGTCTTCCCTCCCACCCCTACATCCCTTTTTTTGTTCTAGTCAATTAGTTCATTCTTGGAGTTCATAGCTCCAGCGAGGAGAGAAGTAAGAGGAGAGAAGTCAGTTGGGGGTGAATACTTGTCGGGGGTTCTATCTTATGCCCTGCAGCCACACACATCATAGGTGTTCAATCTGCCACCTGAGTTTCAACACTTGCTAAGTTCCTTAGGCCCTTTTCCAAGTTCCTTTGATGGGACTCCCTCTTCCTCTTTAAGCCTTTCTTAAGGGGCTGGGCATTCTTTGCACTTCACACTCCAGTATGATGCATCTTGAAATGGGGCTCTTCAAGATCTCATGGCTCTAGGGGGCGTCACAGACATTTCTCTACACCTCTCCATATCTTGTATTCTTGAAGAAACACAACGGTGATAAAACATCTTCATAGCTAAGAATGGCCCTCAGTAGCACTTCACTGTCTAGTTAATGGGTTCGAACCAAGATATTCAAACTCCTCTTAGGTGGAAAAGAGCCAGGCTGTGTCGGGAGGGCAAAGTTCGAAAACTTAGCTGAGTCACTTCAGTTGGATGAACATTCCTTCCTTTTTCACAGTTCAAGAGTGAACCAGGCAGTAAGCATTCCTTAGTTAAGTACCTACTATGTAAATAGCTGGGGAGTTGACGAGGGGGAGGAGACACTAAGCTCTTTCCATCCTCTGGATGGCTTTTGTACAGTCCAGTGGAGAAGGAGAAGGCTGGAAGACGTCAACATGTAGGGAAGAATGGGTCATTAGGGTCCCAAGGTGAAGTGGCTGCAGTGATAGACTCTTTGGGTTTTGAAGCTTACTTGTTTTACTTTATTTCCAGATGTGCAACTTGGCCAGGGTATTTTCCTAGGCAGCAGGAAACGTCTTCCACAAATACTTAAGCAATGGCTATGGAAGGGCAGGCAGCTAAGGGGAGGTGATATTTCCCATCTCCATAGAGTAGGAGGGACTAGTGAGGCAATCAAAGCCAGGTACTTGTCCCTACAAAGGTGGCTTTCATGTTCAAAATGAAACTTTTGCCTCAGCAATTTCTGAAAATCTTAATTCCATCCTATAAGATGACTAAGCTGGCTAATTTGGTTTCCCGATCCAGGAGCTTGGCTCTATGATGCCCAGGCTATCTGAAGCCCAAGAAAGTGCTAAGCAGACAGGAATTCTTCATGTTAATTGGCAACTAGAGGTTACTCAATGAAACAAGTAGCATCCAAACCCCAGAAGACTGCCACCTGCTATGGGAGGAGCAGGCAAAAGAACTTGTTAAGGAGAGTCATGTTCCTGAATAAACACTCTCCACCCGTGTGGGGATGTCTGGGATTCAAAGAGTGGGAAAATGGGCAAAAAGAAGACAGCAAAACCATCAGGAGCGGAGAGTGGGCCAAGAAGGACCCAGTCCTTCCTAGCAATGACCCAGCTAGTGTCTGGAAGGTGACTTCAGACAAATTTCTGGCCTCTTCCCAAGCCTCTCAAGCCTTTGCTCCTCCTCCCATCCCTCCATGCTCCCTCTTCTCGCCTTGGTGTCTCTCTGCTCTGGGTCGACCTATGTTCAAAGTGAAGAGAAACCTTTCCACTTCATCATGCAGTTTGATGCTATCCTACTATCTCAATATTGATATATCATTCAACGTGAAATTAAATAAGAAGAAAAAGCATGTTTAATTCGCTGACCTGCTTGATCTTTCTATATTCCAAGCAATGTTTTTCGGATGCCAGAAAAAGAAAAAATACCCAAACCAAAGCAAACCAGTTTTTTCTGAGCCAGGTCCAGGAATTTGCTGATGTCCCCTAAGTCCAATACTTTAAGAGACAGCAGGTTTTCTTAAGCTTCCCAGAAGCACTGGCATCCCCCTCTTTGGTGCCCTCCCCCCTCCACCCCTTCCTACCTGCCAAACAGAGCAAACCTGGAGCTCTCCGAGAACAGCACTTGGGGCTGGAGAGGGAGCTGATGATAACCGTGAATATGGCAGGAAGCTCTCAAGATAAACCAAAAGCAGACAATAAATCTGATCAAATTACAGAGGACAGTTAACACTGAAGGGGGAGTTATGAAGCAAGAGACAAGATCAAGGCAGATAGGGCTACAATAGTCAAATGAGATCATTTTTATGAAGATCAGGAAGAAACCTTCTTCTAACAGACTTTTAAAATCCCCAGTTGAGTATTGTAGTCCACAAATACACCTTAAAAAAGAGAGAGAGAGAGAGAGAGAGAGAGAGAGAGAGAGAGAGACCTAAATTGCAAAATCCCAGTTTTGTATTCCTGATATCCATTATTACGAGGAGTGCAAACAAAAACAGGAAGCCCTGAACCTGTACAGATTTCCTGCAGAAACTTCAACCTGCCCAGAACAGACTACAGATACACATCCATCTATCTACACCTAGAGATATAGATATGCACACATGTATATTTTCCATTAAACGAGCAGGTGCTGGGACTGTTTATGTGTCAGAATCCCAAAGCTGAAAAAAGCACATAGTTGCTCCAGATACATTTCAGGAATGACAGGTTAATAACTCTGCAATTCAAGTGATTATTAACTATGGTGTCCAAAGACTGGCTTTCTCATTGTGTATTTTGTTATACCTTCTTGAAGGCACCTCCTTGTCAGACCAGGTGCTGCAATCAGCTACATTGGGCCTCATTTCAAAGACATGCTTGATATTTTCCTACTTTACCCCATGCATAACCGTTCAGAAATAAGGGAGGGGAATTACTGCCTCAAAAGGGACTTAGAAAAAAAAATTACCATCTGAGCTTTTCAAAGAGATCTGGAACACCTATGATTCAGCAAATTGAGAATAACCAAAAGAAATAAAAATCATTTAGTTGCCAGGGCAATGTGTTCCATAAAAATAAACACTCCCACCAAAAACCCATTTCCTAAAGGGTGACTCCAGGTAATAAATGCCTAATGTATTCTCTTCCCAGTCTAGTGTTCATATGCCATTTTTGTATTCCAACATGAGTCTGTCTATTATTTCCTTCTGTTCCCTTTGCCTGGGTTAGATTAGAGAGGTAGGGTGTTAATGGTAGACTTGATGAAGATTGAAGACCCATTTTCTCCCCCTGGAGACCAGCCTGATTTGAACAAATTGAGGCAAGCAAAGCAGCCCCCTTTCTGTCCTTGGGAGAAAACCTATTCTATTTCCGCATTTTCAGGCAGCCCAACTCCCCTTTGGAAACAGCAGCAATAGGGAAAAAGTCATATAACAATTCCTGTCCAAGAAGGACAAGGACTTCCTAGTGTCATTTGGGCCCAAACCAAGTCACTGCATCCATCCTTTGTCTTCATCTTTTATTGGGGTTGAACAGGTGATCGAGAAGTGGGTCCTGGGAGGGACTGGTTTGAACTGCTGCTGGAGGGTCGAAGCGGGTAAAGGACCAGCTGCTGCCCCCCAGGGCTCTCCTCTTCTCCTGACGCTGCCGCGGCGGCTGTCGAGGTCGCTGCCGCTGTCGAGGCTGTTGCTGCCGCTGTCGAAGCTGTTGCTGCTGTTGTCGAGGCTGTCGCAGGTGCAGCTGCCGCTCCTGCCGCCCCTGCCGTTGCTGGCTGTGCGGTGGCTTCCTCCTTGCTCTCCTCCTTGTGGGTGCTGCTCTGCTCTGGACATTCAAAGTGTACACAGTGGAATACCTGGATGAGAGGAGACAGATGAAGAACCCAGTGAGGAGCAGCCAGACTGGGCACTGTGGCATCTGCAGGTTCTTGGCCTGCAGCAGACCCAGCACCTTCCTAGGAGAGCTACAAGGAAGTAAGGATTGCGAGGACCTGTCAGGGGGTCTCTGACAACCTTCAGATCCAAAATGCTTCAAGTTAGTCAATCACACCACGCACAATTAGTTATTCTCAACAGAAGTCCAGCATTTCTGGTCTCCTTTGCCTCATCCTTCTTTTCCTTTCGGTCTAAAATCCATGAGTCTCTTTTTCTGCGGTTTTAGGCCTTTGAGAATACCACCCAACCAAAAACATCAAACGAGGGAACACATTTATCTCTAAATGGTTGTATGACTCTACATCCCATTATCCACTTCTAATGCCCAAAGCAAAGGAATTAAGCCAGAGCAGAAAGCTAGTGACATTCAATAGCCTTAAACACTGCCACATTTGAAAATACAACATGGGACAGCAAGTCTGTCTTGTGACTGGTGTTCTTGAGCACTGAAAGGAATACTGAATGGCCTCTATCATCTATAATAAATCCCTTTGGTCTGAAGAAACTAGGACTAACCTGGGAGAGGTGGAGTCACTTTTCCCAAGGATTGAAAGCAAAAAGGGCTCTTCTCCAGACCTAGGACCAGATATGTGGGTAGTGCTGGCCGGCCTACGTGCATCCAGCAGCTCCCATTAATGACTCAACAGTGGCACTGCCATCAGGGAAGACGGAAAATTAAGCTGTGGGATCAAGGAGGTAGCAGCTGTCACCAGCAGTCCTGATAAGGACAAGAGCCTATCTCCTCTCCTCTCTATGTAATAAGTAAACACATGGAGACCCAGGATCTGTCACTTAGTGTCTGAGGCGGGTCCATCAGTCTTCTGTTACATAACTATCTGTATCTGGAAGAAAGGTGAGTAGCACTGGGTGAAGCTTCTTTGTTGCTAACAGTGCAGGGGTCTGGAGTTCCAAGGTTAGCTTTCCAGATGTGTATCTATGTGTTCCTGTGCTGTGCATAACTTGAAAGGATCCCCTGAATTATGCTGTAAGGTGCTCAAAATCTTGGGTACAAAGAACACTGAAGGATGGGCGGGTGATGACTCTTAAATAATAATAAGGTGAGTGAAGCCTTCATCCTCGACACACCTATGGCCCTCACTATCTCAGCAGTCGTGTTCACATCAGAGGTGACAAGACCTTATTAGGGTAGCCTGTTGGAAGGATGATATGCTTGGGAGTCTTCAGATCTGGGTTCTAACCCTGGCACTGCTACCTTTGGCATCTGGGGTGAGTTATTCCCCTCTCTAGACCTCAGTTTCCTCATCTGCAAAAGGAAGGAGGCTGGACTGGATGGACTAAGGTCCCTTCCAGCTCTGAGATTCTGTGACTATATGGATCTATTGAACTCTTACTGTGTTGCCCAGGCCTGGGGCAGAAATCTGTGGGATAAGCTTTGGATTTCAAGGACCTTGTTTGGGAGATAAGACCAATATACATGAAGCAACAACAAAAACACAAAAAATCACCAGATGTTAAATTGCATGTTACAGAAATGTTACAGGAACTCAGAGGACAGGAAGACCAATAAGGCCAGAGTAGCCGGGGAACGCTTGCTTCACAGAGGAGGGGTGCCTTGACCTGGTCCTTGAAGGATGGAGAGGACTTGAACAAGAGAAAAGAGGCACTAATGTTGGTGACGTGATACGCTGATTCAACCATTCTGCAGAGCAATTTGGAAATATGCCCAAAGGTCTATCAAACCATGCATACCCTTTGACAAAAGGGGCATACCAGGCAGGGGAACAAGATAAATGCAGCATGGAAGCTGGCTGAACAGTTCACCCAGGGGCAATAGGGCAGCTGGTCTGAGTAATATGGTAGGAGGCTGCTGAGGGGAGGCTAGGCAGAAGAATTTAAACTTGATATCGTAGGAAATAGGGAGAAGTGTTTTTGGGGAGGTTAGCTACATGATAAAATTCTAGGAAGATTAATATGGTACCTGTGTACAGAATGGATTGGAGGAGGAAGAAAACTAGCTGGGGCTAAGAAGCTGTTGTAGTGATCCAGGTGTAATATGATCCTGGCTTAGGATGCTAGGCAGAGGAAAATGAAGCGGAAGGGGATGGATAACAGACATTTCAAAGGAAAAATGAATGGGACTTGTTGACTAATCAGACACAGGGGATGAAGGAGAGGGATGAGGCAAACACGATTCCCAGTTTCAAGCCTGGATGCCTAGGAGAACAACAGGTGGTGTGACTGGCACACCTAAGTCTTCTCTTAGGGAGAAGCCCAGGCCACCTACAAATGGAGCTTCACACTACCTATCCCCTTTGTTTTTCTCAGACTTTGTTTCTGAGGAAATAAAAGTCCCTTTCCACACATCCCACCCACACACACCCTTTACATTAGAATAAAGTTGAGGGGCGGGGAGCAGACAAATACATTATCAAATTATGTAATATATTTAAAATAGAATTTCCTTTCTTCCTACATCACTCTCTCCCCCACATCCTTGTTCCAACTTATATATTATTCTTGTAAAACTGAGAATTTCAAAATCTTACATAAAAGATCAACTGTGCTCAAGGCGTTTTCTAACCTTCACTCTTTTCTAGTTTCTCCAGACTCCATTTTTGTTCCCATAACCCTTTAAAGTTAATTTCTTTCTTTCCTTAAAGGTAAGATAGATATTGTCCTTTCTGATAGTTTTTTCATAGAACAGTTTTACTGCTGAAGCATTCACTGCTGTAGCTGTATTCAACAGATTCAGCTAACGTTTATTAAGCACCTGCTGTGTGCAAGGCTATAAAGCTATACAGAAAGATATGATGGAATTCCTGCTCAAGGAGTTTATTAATTGGAGGAAGGAGAAGGGAGAGAAGACTACACACAAACAATTGATAAAAGTCAGTGTGAAGGCAAAGAGCAGTAAAGAGATTGACCTTGGGGGAGTGAGGAGAACAGCAGATATCATTTGAATAGAAAGAGATTGGGTTTGGTGGCCTCCTCCTTTCAGAATCCATCCCTGAGCTGTCCATAACGATCAAAGGCCTAGATGCCAAGCTTTCAGTTTCTAGGGTCCCACACAAAATCAATGCTGGGACCAATTAGGGGCTGAGGGCACACTTCAAGTGCACTCAGTCAGTCCATTAGTATTTATTAAGTGCCTACTACATGCCAGGCATTGTGCTAAGTGCTAGGGATAAAGAACAGCAAACAAAAATCAGTCCCTGCTTTCAAGGGGCTCATGGTCCAATGTGGGAGTCAACATGACGACAACTATATATAAACACACTACACACAGGATAAATTGGAGAAAATCAATAGAGGAAAGGTAAGAGCATTAAGGAACATCAGAAAAAAGTCTCATAGAAGATGGGATTTTAGCTGGGCCTCAAAGGAAGCCAGGTAAGCCAAGAGGTGGGGGATAAGGAGGAAGAGTATACCAGGCATAGAATACAGCTAGTAAAAATGCCCAGAGTCTGGAGATGGAGTGCCACTGGATTGCAAAGTATTTGGAAGGCAGTAAGGTGTGAGAAGACTGGAAAAGTAGGAAGAGGCCACATTATGAAGGGCTTCAAAAGCCAAAGGATTTTATATTTGACCCTGGAAGTGAAAAGGAGCATCTGGAGTAAAATGAATTGAGGGTGGGTGGGTGGGGGTTAGGAAGAGTCAGACATGCAATTTGGAGAGATCAATTTGACAGCTGAGTGGAAGATGGGCAGAACAACCAACAGGTAGTTGCAACAGTCCAGGAATGAAGTGATGAAGGCCTGCACTGGGGTGATTGCAGTGTTAGAGGAGAGAAGGGGGTTTATATGAGAGATGTTACCAAGGTAGAAATGACAGGACTTGGCAACTGATTGGATGACGGGGAGTGAGAGAGTAAGGAGTGGAGTATGACACTTAGTTTGTGAGCCTGGGCCTGGGTGACTGGGAGGAAGGTGGTACCCTGTACTGTAATAGGAAAATCAGGAAAAGGGGAAGAGTTGGGGAGGGGAGATAATGAAGTAAGTGGTACACAATTTGGTTGTTATATCTGGTAAATACAAGGTTTCAAAAGGGTGGTGATAACTTGATACTATCATATGTAATCTATCTTCTTTTCCAATCAATCAATCAATCAATCAATCAATCTTTATTAAGCATCTACTTCTGTCAGGCACTGTGCTAAGTGCTGGGAATACAAAAAGAGACAAAAGACAGTCCCTGTCCTCAAGGAACTTACAATCTGGTGGGGGAGAAACATGCAAACATAAATACAAAGCAAGCTATATACAGGATAAATAGGAAATAATTAACAGAGGGAAGGCCTGGAATTAAGGGTTGGGTTAGACTTCCTATAAAGAAGGGATTTCCCTTGAAACTTGAAGACTTCAAGGTTCCTAGCATTGGAGACTGCAGCAGTGGTGGTACCACTATCAGAAACGAAGATCCCGGAAGAAAGTAGACGGTGTATGTATTCAATCTCTGCTCATTTCATCTTCTGTAGGCTCCACATCAATGCTAAAGCAGGGGCCAGGATCCCAGGCATGATAAACTGTCATAATTTTAAGCTAAGGTTCACCACTGCAATCAACATTTTTTGATAGTATAGCTTCTTGTCCTAGGACCATAAATCCTTTCACTGACATTTAAGTGAAGAGCTGGGCCTGATACACAAGGGACTTGTAACGAGAAACCTTAACTCTAGACATAACTGTGATATGGGTTGCTAAAAGTGGTGATATAGAGCAAGGTGCATAGTCTTGTATCTACTATGTATCATTCTATACATTTTTTGTGAATACAGTTTAATCTGTTTTCATTACAGATTTCTCCTTTCTCTATCCCTTCTTTCATCCCATTCGCAGTCCTGTGGTTACCTAACTCAGGTATATAACTGGAGTCCACTGTAGTTTTGGGGGGGCTCACTTGGTACATACTGAATTAGCCTGCTTAGAGGCAGGGGTCTATGGGGAGATCCTGACTTTGCCCT